CCTTCCAGCCCTAATGTCTATGAAATCTATGAAACAGAATTCACAGTGGCAATGTAAACTTCCTCACACTGTCCAGCCACTGTACTTTATCACTGGTTTCTGGGGGTTGTTTAGCAATGCAGATAATGGTCAGATAGGAACTGGACCACCAAGTGATATTAACACAGTGCAAACAGCCTTTATAAGATACTGATTTTCAATCACCACCCAAAGACCTGGATTTAAACCCATATGCTAGAGATGAAAGACGTCATGTATTATTGTTTGTCTTCACAAGCATTCAGTTTTCTATAATTTTCTTAAATTACTACTGTAAGGGGTCAAGAAAACCAACTACATTTCCCCCCACAACCAACTTAAGGGCTTTTTCCATGTGATTTGTAATAAGTCTTTTAAAGTGATACTAGTGCTTCACTAGTTTCTTCAAATATTACCTTGTATTCTGCAGGTTGTCCATATGTAGTAAGAATATATAATTCATCATTTCTGTGCTCAATATGGTAAATAACCCCTTTTGTTCGTTGTTGTACAAGAACAGGTGATTTAAAAGGATGGCTACAGTCAACCAACCAAACTTCAGAGGTAGTCTTGCTGTTACTGTTGATAGTGAGAAAACGCCTATCCTTTGTGCAACATATATCCACAAAAAATCTGCAGACGATGAAAAATAACAGCCAAAAGAATGAGTTTATGATGTATTTTTTACCAAACTGGCAAGATCACCTGCTCAGATAGGTCTGGTAATAAATTACTATCGGGGCATGTAGGGGGAGAGGGAAATTGGTATTTGTCATCCATATACATTTGTACTCTCCATGTACATTTATGGAGAGACCAGAATTTCTACAATTAGAAAAAGAAAGGTAGAATAAGGAAATAAGCTTCCTGCTTGTTGGTTCCTCACTTGCTGTGGACATTGCATCCACTCAGCAAAGATTCCATCGCTCAGACCAGCAGCCTGGCCCTTAAAAGCAGGAGTCAGCAACATTTTCTGGTGGCAGGTAGAACGACCAAGCTTGGGTCTCAAGTGGGCCAGGATTAGCTTCTGGCCACCTCCACTGCTTCTCCCTGCTGCTCGACTGTAACACGACGCAGGTCCACTGAAGCGCCTATCATGAGGCCCAGGTAGAGCCTCTTCCTCTGATGCCTACACTGCCTGACTGTGGCACAACCCAGACAGAGCTCCCTCTCTGCCAAAACCTCCAACATCTGGGTGTGACATGGTGTGAAGAGAGCTCTCCTCTGGCCCCCTGTTGAAGCCAGGGCTCTGCAGGCTCCAGATAAGGCTCATGAGCCATCAATTCCTAACCCCTGTCCTCCAGAAAGCATGGGGTCAGATCAAAAAGTGTGCCAGTTGTTTCACAGAAGTCTGAGGCTAGGATTTTTCATTTATGTTACAAGTCAAGGCAAGCTTCTTAGGGATATTAGACTACAAATCTAAAGGAGTTCTGCGTTGAATATGTGAAAATAACACAAAAATATTTTGTATTGCAGTCTCCCACAAAGGAATTATTTTGCTATGAATTACATTATAACACGAACCTTTACACTCAAGTTTGCTATCTGAGCTACAGTAGTGATAGTGAACTTTACAACTGTCAACAATTTCCTTGTGGGAAAGTGTCTAGTCATGCAACTTGTCCCTTGTGATCCTGCCACTTGACTTAGGGTTTTGTATAACTGGAGGCACCAAATGCCATTGGGAAAAGACTCTCAGTTTTTTCATGGCAGTTCTAGTGTCAGGCATGCTCCCATTAAAAAAAAAGATCTTTATTGAGAAAGTCAGTAAAACAAAACCAAAAATGTATTTATGATGTACTGTATAAAGCCATAACTGTCAGAAAGGCTACATCAACTGTACTAGTTCTGCACATAATTTAGGAGTCATCTTGTCTTTCTAAAATGTTGCTTCAAGGAAGTTCAGTCAACAAGCTGAACCCTGGGAACACTACAGTATATTGATTTTATTGATCTGTTACTTGTAGCAAGAACTGGTTCAAACAGTTTAATACTTTTTAACTGATGTAACAGATGTTCCTAGGAGGGGAACTCAACCCCCAACAACCTGATTTACACTATATGGAATTGTCAGACTTTCATTGAAGAACACCTTGACCTGAGACTGATCTTGACATTTACAAACTCAGATAAACAGTTAGGGCACTTTTACATGTGCTCTGGGTGTGGGGGGGCGGGGGCAAGAGCTGCTCTAATTAAAGCGCCACCATGTTTCCTGTATCAGCATCCCCACACTTAAAAATGGCAGTGGAAGCGCTTGAACTAAAGCTCATTCAACAAGCTTCAGTTCAAGCACCACCGCCACCATTTTTAAGTGCGGGGACGCTGAGACACAAAATACAGGAGGCTGCTAGAATGCAGCAGTTGCCACACTCCAGCAGACTCAGTTAATCGAGTCTGCTCCAACATGCTGGAATTCCAGCGCGTCAGAGCAGCCCCTACGCTCGTGTACAGGTGCCCCTAGGTAATACAGAACAGTTAAATCTAAGGTGATCACCAACCTGGCAAAGTAGAAAGCACGTTCTTTAAGCACAAATTGTAAAAGAAACAGTAAAACCCAAGTTAAAAACACTTTACGTGATTTGGCAGCAAGTTTGGAAAAAATGTGGTATTTCCTTCATTTTTACATATCGATATGATTATTTATTATAACCAACAAATAAGGAAATGCTTATTACGTTTGACTAGAATGATTACCTTGGATCTTGTTCTGTGTAAACTAGCTCAGTATGTTTTGTATCAGTCAAAGTGGTCAGAAACACATTACGGCATATGAGGTTTTCTTGACTGGTATAAAACAGGACATTATTTGTAGCCCATTCTGAAAAACAAGAAACATGCATGTGAACCACCCCACCATATGTGGTGTTACTGATGAATTAATTAAATCTTTTGTCTTTGCCCCAAAGCAAGTTTTAAAGATGATTTGTAAAGAAGCTTGACTTTGAGAATTTAAATGAAATCAATTCACCTAAAAGGCAATAAGTTGCTTCTCAAAACCTTTAAACAGACACCATTCAAGCTGCAGTCTCCCACCCGTGGGGGTACGTGGAGCACCCTGGTGGCTGGGAGACTGCATAAGTTGTGGTCTCCCAGTCACTGCAGCTTGCTTCTTGCTCATGCAGGGGAAGCCCTAGACTGAACTCCCTCTGCACCGGTAATATGGCATGACTGGATCTGATTTGTCATCCTACAATCACACCTCCTGCTATGTACACACAGGAGATGCAATTGTGTAGATGGCACATTAGATCCCATCATGCCCTTACTTGCACATGTAAAGAGGCAAGGACAAAGGCATAGGACTGGGAGGGATCTCTTGCCTCATGAAGTCTACTCTGGCTCCTATCACATGCACCATCTCATGTAGCCTTTTCACAAATTTCTCCAGATACATCCATAAAACCAGTTAGGTTTTTTGTCACTATTATTCTAATTGGAAGGCTGTCCCAAAACATGATTTCTGTGTTGTTTAGGAACATTCTTCCAGTTTCCAGCCTAAACGTAGTTGGGAATAATTTACCAAAATGTGAATACATGGGCGGATCCAGGATTTTATAAAGGGAGGGTAGAAGGGGGGTGCCAGAGCAGCAAGTGGTGCTGCAAGGGAGGTTGCAACCCCCATGCCTACCTTTCCCTCCTCCCTGCAACCAGGATGGGTAGACTATACTGCAGAAGCAACAGCTATTTTTTAAAGCTCCTGTGTCAGATAAGAAACCAACCCCTAACTCTGGGCATCCTCTTCCCTTCCTTAGCAACATATCTTTTCCCATCCCCTTTTCCTCACCTGCCACTGCAATTGTCTTAGGATGGCCTGGGGAGGCAGGGGGAATTCCAAAGCCACCCGCCCTGCTCCAGCCAGGCATCATGGGGAGCTGGGCAGGTTTCCTCTCCCTGAACCTGCTCTTGGACTGGCAGGGAACACCCAGGGGGTCCCAGTAGGAAAGGGAAACTCACCCACTGTTGCTGTTTCCCCTGCCTGAACTTGGCTGCCTGCGCAACTTAGTTGGGGGAGCTCTGGACCTCACCCATCCCTTAGGCCAGAGGCAGCAGGGACAGTGGCAGCAGTGGGTGGAGGATGGAAAGAATGGGAGGGAAGGTGTGTGAACATGGATGAGAAGGGAGGGGGGGAAATTCTTACCTGAATTGAGGACTTAAAAAAATGTCCCTGACTGCTGCTCCTATGGCATGGTCTGAAAGGGTGGGAATAGGGAGGGGGCCATGCCATTGCATCCCTTCTGTATCCACCCAAGTGAATAATCACACAGTACAAAGATAAGACAAACTTTATCAGTTTGATTGTTTTAAGCGCTATTTTTTTTTAAATAAGGGACAGCCGTGTTAAAATCAGTTCCTTTAAGCAGCAATCTATGGAGAAGAATGTTATCATTTTATGGAGTTTACATTGTTTTTACAAACTACTTACCAAAGCTAAACACATTTGGGATAATTCTTTCCATCACAGGTAACTTATCAAGTTTCATAATAATACAGGTTGACTCTTCAGAATTTGAGCTTTTAATGCTGGTAGCCATATACCTTTCATCAGGGGAAATTCTGAGGCGTTGAATGAAGGCATCATGAAAACAAAGATCTTCAGTACTAAGTAAAACTTCAGCACTTCCTTTGTCTAGTACATAAAGGAGTACAGATAACAGACAATGATAAACTAAGAAGTAGCTCAATTACTCACATTCATTTATATTCTGCTACTGGTAACCACAAGCGTCTTTGAGAATTTATTAGCACATAATGTATATTTTAACCTTATAATAAACAGCTCAAAATGTAGAGATAATTTTGCACTCTTCACAGACCAAAAAGAACCTGCAGTTGCTATTTTTAATTTTATTTTTTGGCAGAGGACTGGGTTTCTAGAGAAGAGTCAGACATTTCAAATACAATGTGTGCATTTAGTGGAAAATAGACTCAAAATTAATAAATGCGAACACTTTGGTCTTGTACCAATCAGGGAGTTTCGCTGGAGTGGAGGGCGGGGGTGGTGATGGGTGTTCCAGAAACACAGGGGGATGTGAAATAAGAATTGAGACTTCCCTGATAAACGTAACTTTCACTACTAACGTAATGACTTTTGTTAAATATGTTAAACTAGTATGTATGGAAGGTGTAATACTCTGATTTCAAAATATGAAAATACAGTAGGGATAGGCTGCTATAATTGTTTAGCTATTGCATTTTAAGAGTGAAACTGCAGAATGAAGTGAAGCACACTACTCTCTAGTTCCTTCTAGATATGGGGTTCTGAAACTAATTATTTTTATAATATTTATTGTTAAAGATTTTATCATGGAACATAGCATTTGACCTCTTTTTGTTGTATGTGGGTTTTTTTATTTTTTGTAACTGGAATGGTTAAATTTGAAACTAAGCATCCTGAAATATCAGTGCACGCAGCATTTTTTTTAACACTTATGTCTAAATGGCAGAAGAAATATCTTACCTCCATCAGCTACTGAACGCAATATACAGCCATTTTCTTCAAAGTAAACAAAATTCCCAAATCTAATCTGTTAGGTGCAAAATGGACACATTGCAAATACATTTAATTCACAATTAAATGTTGGACAGTTACTAGGGATCAAAAATATTTTCTAAAAATAATGTTTTTAATGACAGTTATATCCATCATGAGTAGGTATATAGTTTCATGTATAAAAATCTAGTTCAGCATCATATGAAATAATTTTATATTTTACATTTTATATTTTATACGGAAGACAAAAATGTAAGAGAAGTATCCGATACCCTGAAAGTTTGTTAGCCTTATTCAGACAAGCAGAAAGAGGGAATTATGTATAGGATATTAAGCTACAATTTTTTAAGCAAATACAATCGTCCTAATAGAGAAGACATTTACTTGGATTATATAAACAGTAGGCATTCCCCTAATAACAGCTCAAAAGAACACTTGCATAATTAAAGTTATCTAAGCAAGGACTGAACCCTAGTTCTTGAAGTAAACACATACTTACGATGGAGTTTTACCGGTTTAGAAAAGGGATTATATGAAGTGGCTGCCTGAGACAGCAGGGGAAAGGACTTGATGACCCAAATGTTCTCTTCCAGTCCCTTACACATGCATACAAGCAAAATATAAAGCATATGAGTAGTTCCACTGAAATAAATTACAAAAAAAAAAACCACACAAGAAAATAATTTGCCAATTTGGGTTCAATGGGACAACTCCTATGCCTAAAATTGAATTTGTATGCAAATGTTTTAAGGACCAGAGCCCAAGCTCTAATCCTATGAACACTTCCTCAGGAAGTCAAATTGATTTCAATGAATCTACTTAGTTTAGGCAAATTAAACATGTATAAGTGGGATCATGGTCTAACAGACCAAAGGTCTTCCAGATGATAGCACTTTCATTAGTATGTGGAATTGAATCCCCACAATTCATTTCCTTCCTTTTAATGAATAGCTGAAAGCACTTATGTATTATCATACACTTCCCTGACATGGTTGTCAGAAAGTCAGCTTAACTTTATTTTGTTTGTTACTTCAGGCTTCCCTTGCTTTATGAGGGTTTTGCATGTGCAAATTTGCTATGTGATGACCCTTTTATACCAAAAATCGTTAAATGCGAAGTAAATTCACTCTTACGTGATTGGTATGGTGAAAGCACGCAGCCAGCTGCTTTCTGCAGTGCATTGTGGGAGTGACGCGCACCAAAATATAGTCTCCTGTGTGGATCAGTGCCCCTCGCTCGTCGTCTGCGACACGTTTCTGTAGTTGCCATCCCCATTATGATAGTGCCCTGTGCTTGTGTGTACTGTCTGCTGCTGGTGAGTACCAAAATTGTCTTGTAAAAGTGGTAGAAATGGATCTGGGGATCAGTACAGTCAAGGTCTTGGAACATATCCCTATTTGTTCCATTGTAAAATGGGTTTCCTTTATGCGGATTCCAGTTACGCGCTGTCTTCCAGGAATGTGTGTACAGCATAAAGTGAGGGAAACTTGTAATAACAATTATTGTTTGTGATGGCTTACCTAGAGAGCAACCACAGCTGTGATACCCAATAGACATATGCCAGACTATTTTGAAATAGTCTGTAGTGATCTAAGTATTTAATAAACATGACTGTACAAACAACTTAAAAACAAGAACAACAGAATTTCACAACAGGACTAGTTTTATCCAGTTATTTACTTATTTGTACCAAACCACAATACATTTTTAGTATTCTTTTTGCCACTCACCATTGGGCGGTCTTGATTGAATGTATACTTGTCATAGAATACTTCTAATTTCTGTTTGATCCTTTCTGCCACACCCTTATATCTTGCTGAAATTACTTTCCAGTTTTTCTGCTCTGATTTTAGAAGATCCTGGTATGAATATAGTAACAGCTGTGATTTAAAATTTGAAAACTAACTGGATTTTCTCATTTGCCATTGTCACTTGGCTTCGTTTATGGAGCATAACACCAACCATAGCTGAGTACAGACTGACTGTTGGTAATTAGTTTCCCACAAAGAGGAAAGTCTTCATTTGCACAGTGCATGATAAAAAGTAAAATAGGGCAGAAGCTGCCATTAAAAAAACCAAAGAAGTGTTTGCAAATGGCCTTTAAAAACAGTCAGTTTAGAGGAAAAAACATGTTATCTATTATGTGCTACATAAGTAGTCTTTATGTTTTAATGTGACAGAAAGAGAAGTGTTCTCTATTTTCAGTCTATTATACGCAACTGTGTAAATCAGTTCCCTTATATAAGTAGCTACTTGGGCTTTTACTCTACAGTCTGATTTGTATAAGCTGAAAAGAGTGGCAGCAGACTCAATCGTGGGACTTAGCATTTCTTAGGTCCCCTGTGCTATACGTGTGTGTAGTGGGGAGTTTTGTGGGGGAGGGTGTCTTTTTCATACAGCAGTTAGAGATGACATTTTTAATAAATAGGAAAATGCATTTCTTTGTACAACTAGAAAAATTGGCAGGGGAACAAAAGGATCTGAAACTACTTTACATCATTTCTTTGAAATTGAGTGTGTAACTGCAAATAATAATATGCATACAAGCAAGCCACCCTCTGTGGCCTGGGAAATCTTCCATGCCAAAGCAATAGAAAGAAGCAAAATTATCCAACGTGCTACTGACCAGTACTCGCTCTCAATACTCACCTCATTTTGTTATGTTTTGCGTCATCTATACAAAGCTTAAATCGGTGGTTCTCAACATTTTTAGACTCAAGGCACCCCTTGATAGACTTGAGACACCCCTAGGAAAACACCAGCTCCTACTTTTCACTTGCTTTTTGATTACAGAAAAATAATCTAGTCATTCTTCTGTTGCAAAGAACTCAGAATGATCCCAACAAATCAGAATGCTTTTAAGACGATGGATTCCTATTTGAAATCTCTGGGATTATCTTGAGATTCATGCTTGTACATCTCAGTGCTCACATTGCCCGGCGCCCTGCAGAAAAGGATCTCTATGCACCTCAGCATACAGTAGCAGCCTGGATGAGAATCAGAGACTGAGGAAACCAGGATGGAGATTCCTTGCCCACCCGCTGCCTTCTGGCTCTCTGCAGGTCTAGCCTGCTGCCTTTTTCTGGAGGAAGCCTGGATTTCAGAAAAAAGCCACAGCACCAAAACTGACACAGGGGCCAGCTGAGATGAAAATGGCGCAGAAGCTGCCAGGCTGAACACCATAATTCATCTGTCAGGATATCTTGAGACCCCAAGCCTATTCCCCTGTGTCAAGGCCTTCATGCTTGGGATTCCCAACCTGGGTGCTGCAGCACCCTGGGCCACTTTGCAATCCTCTCAAGGGTGCTGTGTCCTGGTAGCACTCCAAGGTGATTCACAAGCAAACCCCAATGGGGCTCGGAAGTGCTCAATGCCTTCAGGCCAGTCAGGGCCACTTGAGCTCTTTGCCATGAAAGCCATGCTGGTGATTTTTCCATGGGCAAGGCTAGGTGGGAAGGAAGCAGTGCTGCCAGGAGTACAATAATTATCATATTTGTACAATAATTTCAACCTTTTAAAATGTATGATCAATAATAATGACAGTGTTCAAAATGTACGGTATTTTTTGAGGCAGCTAACTGATGCAGCATATGTAAAACCCAAGTTGCTCTCAGGGAGTCTTAACTGACTTTTGGGTTTTGTTTTGTTTTAATAATATATTTCGTGATCCAGGTCGAATTAACCAAATCAGTTCTAAACCCTATCAACTGAGCACAGCTCAGGCTCATTCAAGTCCATGTGGGGCCTCAGATACTTTCAAATCCATTGGCAGGCATCCCATGTGCAGGCCCAAGCCCGGAGGTCCTGTAGTTCGGGTGCCCCTAATACCACTTGATCTTAGCCAAAGACTTTTGGGTTGGCTGTCAGCACTTCCTTATGACTGCTTCCCCAAAACAAAGAACTGCTTCAATTTTGATGACCCAGTTGTCACTCACTCACTGGAAACTTACTGTCAACTGAGCAAAGCTCAACCATTTGAGTCCATGTGATGCTACCACCAGTGACAAGCATCAGTCTCAGGCTTCAGAAACTCTCAAATCCGTTGGCAGCAAGCCCAGAGGTCTCGTGCTTTGGATCCAGTCCTGTAGCAACAAAGTTTGGCGCCCAGGGCAAAGCCTGCAGCAGCAGCCAGCCCTTGCCCTGTGCACAAATCCAGGGGGCACCCCTGCCCCCATGCTTGCCCGGGAGTGCACACAATGGCGGAAGCTGCCCTTCCCCTGCCTCTGCCCCAAAAAGGCTCGCAGCTCCATCCCCACGCTCCTTGACGCCCCTTTTGCTACCGCACTGTTCAGATCCCCCAACACCACTCGATCTGAGCCAACGAGTTATAGTGAGCAACATAAAATAAACCAGAAGACTGGTCTGCCTACTTATTTGCACTGTTCTTCTTTGCATTGTTTCCCCCAGCGCACTAGTTTTTCAACAAATACGATCATTTCGAGCTTGCAACACCAGTATTTCCTATTGAGGACCTGGCAACTGCAAAAAAAAAAAAAAAAGACCTGGCCTGCTTCTCCAGGGGACGGCCGGCACCCCGGCACGCCCCCACGACGGGGCCCGTCCTCTGCGGGGCAAGAGACACCCAATACCAGTGGGAGCTGCCTTTTTCCAAGGGGGCCTGAATCCGAGACCCCCGGCTCCGCTCCGCCACGCCCGCTCCGTACCTGGCGGCGGAGCCCCGCGCAGTGGATGCGGCAGGGGAGGACGGCCAGAGGCAGCTGCACGCGCAGCACGCGGAGCAGGGGCCGCAGCATGGCACACGCGCCTCCCCACCCCCCGGGTTCTGCCCGGCGAAGTCACTGGCAACGTCACTGCAAGCGAACCGGGCTGCCCTCAGTTAAGATGGCAGCCTAAAGCTGTTTCTCCCGCCCCCCCGCCCGTAGTCAAGATGGCGGCACTCTCGCGCACGCGGGGGACGTTCCTCGGAAGCTGAGCGCTCCTCCGCCATCTTGAATAGGGGCAAATCCTCTGCATAACAACCTACTGCCTTTTTTTTTGTTTTTTGGTAAAGGTGGTGATGTCTGGGGCAGTCTGGAAAAATCGTGCCCCGCCCCCACATCCTTTTTTAAAGTTACTTTAACTTCAAGAGGAAAAACGCCAGCTCTTATGGTCACGGTTCCCTCGCCCAGATGGAAAACGGGGGGAGGATGGAACGGCTTGCCCTTAACAAAGATGGCTACCGGCTCGCCCGCGGCCCTTGTGCCCACCTGCGGGCTCGGCATGACGGAGGCTACAGCTCCCGCCCGCGCCCGCGCCCGCTGGGAGCTGCTGAGCCAGGTACGGGGGGGGCAGCGCCGGGTCCCG